AAAATTAAAATTAAAATTAAAATTAAAATTAAAATTAAAATTAAAATAAAGCATAATAAATAAATTAATATGTATATATATTTTTTTCTTTCGTGAGGTAGTTTTTTTCTTCTTTCGTGAGGTAGTTTGAAGATACAGATCTCTTCCAAATCTCCTGTTTGCCCCCAGCAACCCGTTAACATTTCAGAGAGGTAACGTACCCGTAGTGAACTCAGTGGTGGTGGCTGCGCTCCGGGCCAGGTCCCTCACAGCGTACACCTTCACAGTGTAATGCGTCGCTGGTGTCAGAGAGCTCATCTCAAACTCCACCACGTTTCCAGACACACGCTCCATCACCGGCGCCACTGAGACACACACACGGTGACACAACAGGCGGTTGACACATTAATACAAATTTTGCATCGACATCAATAGGGTACCTTTCCTTTAAAAATATCTATATGGTGCAAAAACAATATAAAGTAATTTAATAACAATGAAAATAGTCTCAAACACTCTTATCAGCTAAATGTGCTTTTTAAGTAGATGTAGACAGAGCAAATATAATAGTCCTCGTGTCTGAAAAAAAATGTTTATTTAGTGTAAAAATTATTTTCTAATATTTTTTCAACCAAAAGTTTGTGTCCCTGAAAAGATAAATCCAAAAAATATAGAATATGAGATTAAGTTTAGCATTTTCTCATATGAAAATAGAAGTGGTCGACAAACTTATTTCTGTAATTTCAATGTGTGCGTCAGAGGGGAATTAAAAAAAAAAAATTATGCTGTTTTAGACTCTTCATACTGGTTTAAGCTTTTAGCTGACAACCTACAAAATTCTTACATGCCACAAAATAACAGAAAAATATAATTATGCGGACAAAGTGTTATATTTGTACAAGTGATTTCATGTAGTATATTGAAGTGGTAAATAAAGGATGATATATTTGCTTTGTAGGCATCTAAACATTCAACATTTTTGAGAAATATGAGTAATAGTAAGTCAGAATTTTTACAAAATGCCAAACCTGAGCACCTGACAAAATAAAACCTGATAAATTCGGAGCCCTTGGTGTCCATCTTTTTTGGAGAATAGTCTATTTAGTCTAGTGTTCCACTTAAACACATTCACCATCTAATTTAGAAAAGTTTTTAATATCTGATCATTTAACACAACACATTTTAGTCTTTTTTCATAATTAAAACTCATAATAAAATAATAACATAACTCCTTATTTCATTGACTTGACATTTCGACAGGGGTAAGATTCCCTGTTCAAACAAAGACATTAGTTTGTAGTAAATTGTTGTGTAACTGTGAGATGTCCTGGCCTACCGGAATCTGCACTGTAGGTGATGATGTAACCGTCCACAGTGGCGATGGCGGGCTGCCACAGCAGCAGAGCCTCGCTGTCCGTGATGTTGACGGCGGTCAGACCACGCGGCTTGTCCAGAGCTGCAAACACACACACAGAGACACACAATCAACATAAGAAAGCAAGGAGAAGAGCTCAGCAAAAATGGATGCTTTCAGTCTAAAATAAAATCCTTTCTACTGTAAAAACCTATTAAAAGACCTTCTCAAACTAATAATCAGACATCTGATTTAAAGATCCTGTTCCTTAAGACGGGGTTGAAATGCCAGTAAAATAAGATGCTTCCACAGTTCAACAGTGTGAATTTTTGAAAACTAACAAATTAGTATTTAGTTAAACGTGACTAAATTAGCTTCAGGTTAGTCTTCACTCATTGTTTTTTTATTTCTTGAGAGTGTTTAATGCTGTTTGTGTCTGAAAGTGTCTCACTCTAGGCTAATGTAATTCACATGGTGATCTGATAGGCCTAAAGGTTATTTTCCTGTAATATCTTTGGACTTAGTAGCGCACTAGCGCTGTGTGCTGTGTGCTAGCGTCCGTTACCTGTGGTGACGCTGTCAGACCCGGGCTCGCTCTCCCTCTGACCCTTCAGCGCCACGATGGTGACCTCGTAAGTGACCCCGGGCGTCAGGTTGGACAGCACGGTCTGGGACTCGGAGCCGTCCACTGTCAGGGTCTTGGCATTACCTGGAAGGTAAAAAAACTGTTAAAAAATCTAATCCTGCCTTCAACTGCAGGACTAGGAGACAGATGCTTTTAAGGGGTCCTCCCCTCGGCCTCCTTGAATAATATCCCTTTGTTTTATGAGGCCAAATCTAAGTTTTTGTGGTGTTTTTAAATGTTCATTTCAGCTGACCGTGACTGTTTTGAATGTTTCGAGTATCAAAGTGGATTAAAGTTTGTTTAATCAATTGAATTACACAGTGCAACCACAAATGATTCATTTAAATTCTCTTTTTCCATTCTCTCCCTCTTTGACTATGGCTTTGTTCAGCTTTTAAAAGCAAATGGTTCTAATGTGCTTCAGAAAGAGGTCCATTCATGCCATAGAGCAAATTTGTTGATCTTTATTTTTTACTTTGGAGGTTATATTTATCTTCATTGCTTACATGTCGGTTTAACAATTTAATTCAGATTTTGCTTGGATTTGTTAATATTGTGCATGGTTTTGGCTCAGTAAGCCAATTATGTCTTCCTTCTTGGAAATAATGTTTTTTTTATTAGGATAAAAATAGTTAAATGTTGATCCTCAGGCAATCAAAAATACTGCAATTTATTAAAAGTATGATTTCTTTCTTTATGGTCATAAACAGAATACTGGGATAGGCTCCAGTCCCCCCCCCCCCCCCCCCCGCAACCCCATTAGGTAATAAGTGGTTCTGATAATAGATGGATAAACGGGTGGTCATAAACCTGAAAAATACCTGTAAAAATGAAAATCTGCCTGTATATTTTTTAACATTTTTTAAATTGGATGTGTTTCTGTTAAAGCCAAACCCCACTACCCCCTCAGGCGGTTCTTTCAAAGCATAAAAACTCATCTATTTTTTCCTTCAAACTCTGTTTCAGACGACATACCTGTAAATCGTCAGTAGGGGGCAGCATCAGTCTGTATTGGGGAGTGTGTTGACCCTGGTCATCAATGAATTGAAAAATCTGACTATGCTGGCTCTAAACTGTTAAACAGGATTAACGTACGCCTTTACACCTCTCCTTTAAACCAAATTATGGCTGATGTTAAAATTATTTTGCTTTTTATTTGCATCTTCCGGAGAATGTGGGAAATTGTTTTGAATCATATGACATCAGCAGACAGCGGAAACATACTTGTGGCGGTACTAAAGACAAATATATATATATATATATATGTCTATATGTCTATGGTGGCACTGACCTCCGTGGGCGGGTACGTAGGTGACCCGGTAGCTGTCCACCCGGGCCTTGGGGGTCACCCAGTGGACGGTGGCCGACGTGTCGGTCACTTCGGAGAAGCGGATGCCTTTGGGTGAACCCAGCTCTGCATCACACAACGACACACAAACAGCAAACGCGGGGAAAGGAGTCAAAACCGGAAGGTTTTCTTCATATCTGCGTCACACTATAGAGTCACAAAATCTCTATAGAATCACACGATAGACACGTCCTAGGGAGGATCTACACAGAAAAGACATATTTTTAGTTACTTTGACCCAAAGAAAGCCAGCAGAAGGGACAAAAGAGTCCAAAACCAGAAGGTTTTGTTCATATGTGCGCACAGATAGCACACATATAACGTGAATCGCACTATAAACATGTTTTAGTGAGGATCTTCCTCTACACAATGAAGCCAGACACAAGAAAAGAAACAGATTTTTTAGTTACTGGGACCGAGAGGAGATCCGACTCCCAGCATCACTCATTTCTAGATGGAGTAAGAGCGACACACAGACAGAGGGAAAAAGCCTTTCCCCGGTTAGCAGCGAGCCACAGTATCTCGCGTGACAGACCCCTTGGATCGGACAAAAAGTGAAACGTAAAGCAAAGCCTTGACCCCTCCGGGCATTTTGTGACACGGACACACAGCCACCCACCAAATAACAGCGACCCTTTTACCAAAAAAGATGATCTGACTCACGGGGCCAGGTGGTTAAAGGCAACATTTGAGGAGACGACTGGACAAAAAGCACACAAAGAGCACACAAAAGGCCTATGGTCATGAGTCGGAGTGGGGGGGTGGTGACTCATCTTAGTCTGACACTTGTGAGTGGAAGCAAGTGTTTTGCATGTCTACCTGTTTTCTGAAATTTTAGCTAATTATTTGCAGGCTTGGATCTCATAAAAGTCACCATGTGATGTAAAATCCTTAAATATAGGATAAATACAGGATAGTATTTTAACAATGCTTCTTCAAAATGCTAATGATAATTCTAAAAGTAGGCTGACATCTGTAGACTCACATATCAGTTGGACCCTCCAGAATGTGGTTTGTCTAAACTTTGAGTGTGTATGTATGTATAGTGTATAGTCTAGAACTATGGTCCATACAGTCGAACCTATAGTACCCTCCACAATTATTGGCACCCCTATTTAAGATGTAGTTGAGGATTTCTAAAAACTATCCATTTTGTTAAAACAACATAGAACCCAAATGCAAAAAAAGAGAAAAATCCATCCTTTTATTTAAGTACATTACTTTGGTGGTAAAAATAAAATCACATGTTTAGAAAATTGAAAACGTGAAATCATGCGCCCCACAATTATTGGCACCCCTAACAGTTATGCTGAAAAATGTAATACATTTTCTTTAAATATATTTTTCTGTAGTTGGTGAAGTTGGTCAGGGTATTTAGGAACTTTTAATTAGTAATTCATGACTTCCTGTTTCCTGGAGTAGAAATATGACGTGACGATTTCACATTTTTTATTTTCTTAACATGTGATTTTATTTCTACCACCAAAGTAATGTACTTGAATAAAAGGATGGATTTTTCTGATTTTTTTCATTTGGGTTCTATGTTGTTTTTCAAAAAAGAGAATTTTTAGAAGTCCTCAACCACATCATAAACAGGGTTGCCAATAATTGTGGAGGGCGCTATACAGTATACTGGGCTGCTAGGTGACCAGGTTAGTGGACAAAAGCATGTATGGGAACACGGTTATTGATAATGGAACGTCATGCTGTTACCATCAAAGACAAGATCAGACGCCATTACACGTGGACTACGCTTCCGGAAGCTCCGTTCCGGCCTCTGCCTCCGCCATTTCCCCATGTACCTGTTCTCACCCTCTCTGTCACGGACTTGGAGCGTCTGCCCGACACCAGCCCAAAGAGCTCCACTCTGTACTCGCTGTCCTCGGAGAGCTCCGTCATTGTGGCGTTTCTCTCCTGGCCCTCCAGCACCAGCTCTCGCGGCCGGCCCAGGCCCTCGGCTTGGCTGACCATTAGGACAAAGGTGTCAAAGCCGTCCTCTTCCTGGGCCGTCCAGGCCACCGTAAAGCTTTCGGGGGTGACGTCGGACACTAAGAGGGCCTGCACCTCGGGTTCGGCCTCTGATTGACAACGGGGGGGGGGGGGGGAGTCAGTGTTTCTCCCCTTGTTTTGACATTTGAAGAGCAAAATAAATCGTATCAGTCTGGGTGCTCAAAAGAGAAAATGAGGAAAGTTTAATAGCAAGAAAAAAGGAAATGAAGTTAAGCCAGCCTAAAAACCAACTGTTCAGCTGCATCATATAGTTCTTTCCTCGAGCTAGAGAAATAATAAAAACTAAAATGGAGTTGAAATTCACTTTGCGTCTAGAGTTAATCTCATGCTGCTTTTTCAAGGTGCAATACATTATCCTGGCTTGCTATTTTTTATCTGACATTTAAACCGCTATTCGCGCATATTCAATCCATAACGACCTGCAGCTTAAGAAGCCCTGGAGGCAAAACTTCACACTCCAGCAGCAGTTATTTCTGTTTCTCTGTGTGGCAGCGCACCCACCAGCGTACTCAGAACTTATAGGGATTTTTTCTTCTTCTTTTTTTTTTCAAAGTGGAGCTGTGTAAAGTAACATAATGGCCAGCCGGCTGAAAGTTTTTTCTAATGGGAGTAGTGAGAGCTAAAAAGCTGTTTCGGAATGGGGTCATGAGAAGAGCACGCTTTTCTCATTAAAACCCACTCCCGAACCCTCCCTGAACCCCCCCCCCCCCACAACACTTCGCTGCCAACACATGTCGCTGCCGGTCAGTGGCTGGCCAGGGTCCCTGACCATGCCATAAAAGCTTTGAAAATATACAGACATTTTGTTTCAATCAATAATAAGTGACTAAAATAACGTAATAAAACACAACCGAAGATGCTCCTCTCAAAGACAGCGGATTTTTTTCCTTAGAGAGCTCATATTCTGAACTCCACGTATTTACATTTGGGGCTTTTCGCGTAGGGTGTTATAAAATCTGACAGTTAAGCCATCGTTAGAAGCCGGTTCTGTAGCTGTTGGAGGAAAAAATGTCTTCAGAGGATGAGTCCGCTGCAGCTAATTAGCCGGCAGAAACTTCCGGACAGCGGACAGACGGACGCACGGACCGGTCAGAGCTTTATAAAGCGGTCTGGACAGAAGCGAACTTAAGTAGGCTGAGGGGAAAGGCTCAATAAAGCCCTAGCACCGCTGCTCATTAAAACACTACGCCAAATGTGAGGGTCTCAGGGGTCCTCCAACCAGCCCTGAAACCCCCTTCTTTTTTTTTATTGTGGAAGGAGAAAAAAAAAAAAAAAGCGTGAGGCATTTGTTGTGCGAAGAAGCGGTGGAAATGAGAAGCACAGCGGACAAATCCCAGGGAGCTGTCACTCTTCATTAGCCGCCGAGTGGCTTTAGCCGGTCAGTGGGAGAGAGGGAGGGCCCGCGTCCATCAGCTAGCACGGGCTAGCTCGGGCTAGCTCGGCTAGCGGTTTCAGCCTCACGCCACCTCCTCAACAATCCCTCCCCCCCCTCCCTCCTAACACAACCCCTCAAGAAACACAATCTCACAATAAGGAGCCTGTTTAGCGAGGAGGTATGCTAACCTGCTGAAAAGGAGGCCTGGAAACACAACTCAGGGGCTTGTTCTAGCCTTGTTTGATAAGTTTACTACGGCAGTTTGTGGTGATGTGAATCCTAACTGTGTGGAACTTGATCTGGACACTGTCCTAATCCCATCCTGGTCGCATCAGTCAATCCTTGCGTCTAGATTAATAATGGTTTCTCAACCTACTCATTAAGACTCCAAAAAAACACTTTTAACCTGCGCTGGGGGCCAGCAGAAGCAATGTTGATGTAAATAAACCCAACAAGTTTGTCACTTGGCATATGATGTCTAGCTATCCCTCCCAAAGTGTATCCTTATTTTGGGGGTTGTATGACGGTGAACCTACAATTGTGACTAAGATGTTTATTTACGGAAAACTTCATACTGTCAACATTTGTGTTATGTACCTTTAATGCATGGTTGTATCATTGCTCTGCAAAAAATAATAAAAGTCTAAGTTCTAAAAAAAAATAATAATGGTTTCTCCCTTTTTTTTTGTTTATTCCTGTTCGATGTCTTCCTCCATCGACTCAGTCAGCAGTCGCCTTCAAAAGTTGCAATGTTTTATGGATTAGGCCATGCTAATGAAACATGTTGAGATGGTTTGGTCCGCGCTATTTAGCATGCAGACAATGGGGCAGTGTTGAGCACATGCCATATTCCGACACGGCCCCCAGAAGCCCCCTGGCACCCCCAGCACAAGAGCCCAGGGGCAACGGCAGCATGAGAATGAGAAGTCCGGGCTGGAAGGGGAACTGGGGATGCATACTGACGAGAGGCCTCACACAAAGTGACAAAAGCGCCTCGGGGTTTTTTTAATTTTTTTTTATTTTTTCCTCCATCAGTCCCCCGTCTCCCTTCCACTTGGCTGATCTTCGTCAGTGAAAATGCTCGATGATAGGACTGAAACAAAAGTCAATAAACTGGATGTATGTGCTCTTCTTAGCCCGTGCACAGAGGTTTTTTTGATCGTGATGTTGAGAATCACCTTGGTGTTGCGTTACATGGAGTTATTGGCAGATCCCAGTGTGGCCGTAGCCCTTTAATTAGGCGCATACTGTGATTTACAGCATGCTAATCGCCCAAAATGACTGTGGTGGTGTTGTGGGAGGGGGGGAACCAGTGCGTCTGTTGTGCCTGTTAAACAGCGCGCTGACCTCTTATTTCACGCACCTCTGCCCGCTCACACACTGGACTGAGAGCGGGGTTTCAGACTGGACGTGTACCAACAGGCGGGCTGAAAGCTCACAGGCGGACCCAACATGCGTCCCCGATGCCCACAGAATGGGTTTTGTGTTTAGCCTATTTCACAACCCGACGCATCAAAGGAAGTGATACAGGCATGATGGATGGCGGAGGACATATGTTGTTTGGGGGATTTTGATTGCACCATTTCTGAAAGGTGTGAAGCCTGTACGAAAAATAAACTCTAACATTAAAACTGTTCAGTGTCTTTATGTAAGCCTTTTTGGAATGCATTTAAAACTATATATGAACAGTCACTGCCTTTAGATCATGTAAGGTAAAGTTTTTTTCCTTTTTTTTTTTTGTTTTAAAAAGATATGTTATTAGCCAAATCAGCAACTAGTCCATTGAAAGTCTCATCAAATTCTGGTCCGAATGCTTGTGAATGTGATTTTGTCTCGATGTGGGTTGGACCTTTACAGTTCCTACAGTGAGGAACTGTCCAAATGTGAAGCCTGAGAGCTGAACAGAAGCTGGTGTGGGATCAGTGGAGGCAGAAAAAGGCTGAGCAGGAGCACTTCCTGAGCTCTAGCAGGCATCGAGAAGTTAACTGTAAAAGCAACTGGCTATACGACCCTCACTTAAGGTAGGGCCAAAAACTGCCTGAAAGAGAGTCAGTCACACTCTGGATTGGTCCATACAGCAAATGTACGCCTAAAAACCACCAACGGAGCGGCTGGTGTCCACTACTGGTGATGTTAGATGGACTAGATGAGAATATTCAAACAACCTTAGTCACTGAATGAGGAAGAGGAAGTAGTAAAATGTCATAAAGAAATGAATTGATCAATCAAAAAGGTAGAAAATGGAATATATACATTTGGGGGTAAAAAGATAAGATTTCAGAGGAAATATATGACTTGTTTTTGGTTATAAAACAACTTTTCTTCCTGGGAAAAGCATATTTTTTAAGAGTTTCTGCCTATTTAAAAGCCACAGGAAATAAGCTGGGGGGAAAAAGAACTGGTCGATTCAACCCCAAAAAATAAAGAGAAAGAGAAAGCAAAGCGGAGGATGAGGATGAGGATGAGGACCTGGCGTTTGACCAAACGTGTACCTGTGATGGTGTCTGCAAAGACGGGGTCAGACAGGGCCCAGCTGTACAGGCCGTACACGTTGGCCCTGTACCAGGTGGCGGGGGACAGGCCGGACACGGCCAGGCTGCGAGCGTGGGCGGGCGCCGTGTGGTTCTGCCACTCGGCGCCCGTCTCCGCGTCGGTCACCTCGACCAGAAAGGCCTCGAAGGCCCCCTCCTCGGCCGACCAGGACAGGAGGAAGCTCTCCCACGTCACCTCGCTGACCGTGACGTTGGTCACTACGGGCTTGGTCTCCTCTACGTGACGACAAATACAATCCACGTCAAAACATGGCCGACACAAGACGTCTCACACACTGTGAGGCCGATGCTGTGGGAGAGGACTGTAAACATGGCAATACAACACACACACATGCATATACTGAGAGGATATGATTCGAATCTGTTTATCCCTTTAAAGCCTGATCCAAGAAAAAAACAAAACAGAAAATTCCTTTTTTTTTAAATTCCTTATTTGGCCTTTTAACAAAATATGTAAAAAGAAAAAGCAAAAATAATTTTTCAATATTTATAATTTATTACTATGCGATAAGTCATGATTATTTTTTGTGTAGTCTTCTGTTGTTATCAAGTATATCTGATTGTGTACAATAGGATTTTGAGCAAAGTTTTTATGATTAAATTATGCAAAAGGTGTCAGACGCAAAACATTTCAGAAACCGTATGTATCAAATATGATACATTTGGCATTATAGGGTTAAAAGAACTAACATGCCAACAATAGACAACATATTAAAAAAAAGAACATGGAAAAGCTTTTTTCAACATTTGATAAATCCTCTGGGAAGGAAAAATGATGGGTTCAGCAATGCTGATGTCTGGTTTGTATTTCAATTTGATTTGACGGTCAGGAAAGAAAAAAAAAAAAAAAAAAAAAAGAGAAAAGGCCTTGCTGGATATTCCCGTATTTCCACTACAAAGAGGGGAACGTATAGGCTCAGCATCAATAGCTGCCTATAGCTATAGCTATCCTGGCCGTATTAGCATATAAGTGGGAAGGCGTAGTGATAAAAAGCCAGCCGGCAGACTTGCTGATGCCCGTTAATGGCCGCCGACCGGCCATTAACGTTTGAAGGTGGAAACGTAGCCGCCCGGTCGGGGGGGGGCAGAAGTACGCTGTCCACTTCAAACCTGTGAGGAAGCCATGCAGAGCCATGCGGGGGTTTCTGAGAGCGGCCTCCAAAGAGAAAAGAGACACACGGCGCAGGTATTAAGGCTCCCATTATCCTCTTCCCACTTTGAGAGGGTCAATGGAACGGGCTGGACAATAAGAGGGTGATGGGACACTGTGAGCCCAGCCTCAATCAGACGGTCATTATTTATGAGATCTCGCGTGAGGAAGAGAAATGATGTTTCTGATGAGTTTGTGACCCCGCATCCCGGAGGTGGATTTACCCGTGTGTTTTTTAATAAACGCGTACCGGGGGAAAAAGGCCTTTTTCATTTAAAACCCGAGGGGACCTTTCACCCCACGCCCAGACGGCTTGAAATGATAAAAAATCAAACGCTCCCCGGAGATCCCGCCGCGTCTTTCTGACACATCTTATTCGTGTCACAGTAAAAAGAAACATGCGTTAGTCACGGGAATGAGACGAGATAGTCTCATTCAGACTGCATCAATCCCTTTGTGAGATGCAGCCCAGATCTAGTCATCTCATGCAAGAGGATGATCTAGATCTAATAACAACTATCCATGCACTATTTCAAATTCAATCAACCCCACAACAGACGTTTTAAATGTAACATATCTCTCAATATGAGGGCAATGTGCTGTAATAGGGATATTTCTTATTAATGTGAAATCCGATGGAGTACATAAAAGTTTTTGACACTATCAAACAAGTCAGAATGAAGAAGTTGATGTTTGTTCTTCTGATTTTTCCCCCCCAGGTGAAGTACAACTTGCTTTTGAAAGAACTCTGATAGAAAGAATGGACATAATCCAATAGATCACGTTAGGCCAAACACCATCTAAAAACCAAACCAGACAAATGTCACTAAGACAAGCGGACAGTGGACTGCTCCTCAAACCAGGACTGTGTCCACTTGGGGGTCAGTTTCTGTTAAATGGAAATTTATCAGACAGATTTTGCAGCTTGCATTGAACTAAGTAGTAACAGCCCTTTTGTTGACAGTTTTTTTTTCACCTCATCATATGTATAATGACTGTATTGCAACATTTCTTGTTTTTTTGTTCATTTGTTAGTTTTGTTTTGGTTGTCTTCAAGAAAAAAATGGAAAGTGGCATTAGAAAAAAATGATTAAAAGCTTATGTGGAAAGGTGCATGTAAGATTCTTTTTGCTCAGGGTCTAGTTTGGTCCTAATTTTTGCCATGTGTTTAAAAAAAAAAAAAAGAATTGTCTCACTCTCTGTATCAGAGTGAGAAAAAGACTGGATTGCTGTAAGTATGCTGTCCATCTTTCCTTTATCATCATCTGAGGGGCACCAATAACAAGAATCCATCACTGTTTTAAACAACTGGCACCTGAATTCATTTTTTTTGTCTTTATGGTAAAAACTGATTCCTCAATATCCTAAACCTACCCCATTGTCTTTCTCTCTGTCTCCCCCTTCTAAATGAATGTAGTCTGATCTTGTGATGATAAAGTGCCCGGCTGTGGATTAGAGGAGGGCTGATCTTTAACAGGACTCTCAACGTGGGGCCTTTTTTTTTTTATCAGACAGAGCCACAGTTCACAGTGGTCAAATCACACAAAAACCAGAAAGGAGCGCGTCCACGCTATCGATTATCACATGAATGAGGCACACAAATGTCTCAGCTCCAAAGTCCACTCTATCTGAGCCTGTTTTTATCCCCGGTGTCTGTATTTGTCACATATGAGACCGCGTGCATAAGAAGACAACATATATGCTCAAAGGAGCTTCCTTCATGAGTCAAAAATCCTTATTTGACTTTTGTGCTTTGTTATATCAAACTGAAATTAAAAAAATGCACATCTGTCTGCCGCTGTTCTTGGTCGCTTACAATCACAAAGAAATAAACGAGAGACCATTTGGATTTCTGCTCATAATTATGTCTCCAGTTAGGCAAAGGCACCCTTTTGCCTAACTTCGGGATTTACTTGTGGATTTACTTGTGGTCCGTTTGGCTCTGAAGCGCTCCGACCACAGCCTGAAAAACACACTCACTTCATTTATCTCCTTGTTTTTGTTGGAATAAAAGGAAACCCGTCCGACAACGAGCCTGGGGAAGACGCACAATGCCTCACATTGTTAGCAATGATTACAATCCATCGCCTTGGTTTTGGCTACATCAGGGAAGCATAAAATACGATGTTTAATAAAATATGTCTCCTTTAACCTTTTTGCCATCAGCCCGAAACCTTGTGGAAACAACGGGCTACCAATCCTGATTATGATGTTTATTTGTTGGCTATCATCATAAAGATGAAATCATAAAAAATATCCAAAAATATTTTTTTCTTTTTTGGCTTTGTAATACTTTGTAATACTGTACAATATGTACAAAAAACTCTTTTTTTTCTTTTTTTTTGGCTTTGTAATACTTTGTAATACTGTACAATCTGTACAAAAAACTATTTTTTTCCCCTTTTTTTTCTTGGCTTTGTAATATTTTGTAATACTGTACAATCTGTACAAAAAACTATTTTTTTCCCCTTTTTTTTCTTGGCTTTGTAATACTTTGTAATACTGTACAATCTGTACAAAAAACTCTTTTTTTTCTTTTTTTTTGGCTTTGTAATACTTTGTAATATTGTACAATCTGTACAAAAAACTCTTTTTTTTCTTTCTTTTTTTACAATCTTGGAATATAATATCATAGAAGCTGTATCCAGTGAATCAAATGGACTATTTCATACAGATATGTATGACACTCTTATGACTATTTCATACAATATCTGTATGAAATAGTCCAGTTGATTCACTGGATACAGCTTCTATGATATTAGATTCCAAGATTGTAAAAACAAAAGAAAAAAAACTAGTTTTTTGTACAGATTGTACAGTATTACAAAGTATTACAAAGCCAAAAAAAAGGGGGGGAAAATAGTTTTTTGTACAGATTGTACACTCTTATGACTATTTCATACAGATATTGTCTGAAATAGTCATAAGAGTGTCATAAGCGTTGTGAAACAAAGCTGATGTAGCTTTTAGATACCAGCTAACGGAGAATTCTGGCTACTCAGGACCTCTGGACTGACCTGTGGGGGCAGAGATGGTGGCGGGGGCGCTGGTCCGGCGGCCCCTCTCCGCGCTGACCCTGACGGTGTACAGCATCCCCGGGGTCAGGCCTGTCAGGGCGTGGGACTCCAGGCCGCCGGGGACCACGTCCTGGGCTTTGTGGCCATCGGCCGACACGTACTCCAACCGGTACGAGTCCAGTTTGGCCACCGGGCGCTTCCACTCCAGCACCATGGTGGTCTCCGTCACCTCCGTCACTGTCAGGTCCTTGGGAGCGTCCAAAGCTGACCGGGACACAGATTTTAGATCAAAATGATGACTTTCAAACTATCTCATCCTCCATTTGTAAAGAAATGCCACAATTATATCAACATATTGTTGTCACAAATTGAAATATTGTCAAATTGAGCAGATTCTGAACATTAAAATGACAGTGAAGCTATTCCGTGTGTCTTGTTTCAAACTAAATCTTGTGCAAAAAATAAATATGACGAGAAACTTTCGGTGAGAAGACAGTGAGAGGATTCTGCTGCACGTGACAAATCCCCCCCCAGCCACAGCCCCAAACTGCCAGCTGTCTTAATAAAAACGGATCGATCTTTTCTGGTGGGTGAAAATTAGCATGTGCATCCGGGTGTTATGTTCCCATCTGTGTCGTACGACGCCGTGGCCAATAAAACTCTGTGACTCCTGTAATTAGGCACGCGATTGGATGCTCATTAAACCTTCCCCAATGCCAATATCCAGCCAGGTGTCATTTTTCCTTATATTCATGATTGTAGAACTTTCTCTCTGAACAGAGTTGATGAACTACTTCCTCACCATAGCCTCAGATAGCCGAGATGTGGACTTTCTAAGATTTTCCAAGGTACGTTTGAGTCCACAATGTCATGTAGATCATGATGGGGGGACAGTTTCTCATGCATTGTTGGACGAGGGCTCAAAATTCAATAAAAATACAACCCTGATAAAAAGGATCCAGACTCCCTCACTGGGATTAACTCATCTTCCGAGCACAGACTCTTTCTGAGCATTGTCTTTTTTTTTAAATGAAAATTTCTGTCTGTTATGTGTTGTTTGAATAATGATAAAAATCAGTTTTGTAGTTTTTAAAATTGTAGTTTTAGTTGTTCAACAAGGTCACTGACAACCATTTCCTTTCTAATTTACCAAAATAAAAGTTCAAACAACGAAATGAAAAGATAGATTTTGTAGCGTTTTAGGAAAAAATCTGCAACTGAGGATTCCACTCAAACGTCCCCTGGCCAGAGGGATGAAATATCTCCGAAGCAGCCAATCAGGACAGCTCAGACAGACATATGACTAAATCTCTGGATATAATGCATATAATGGAACGACATAGGCACTGTGTAATCAGAATCAGAATCAGAATCAGAAATCCTTTAATGATCCCAGAGGGAAACGATTGGTCAGCAACTTACCGGTCACTGCGTTGGTGGTCGTGGGCAGACTCTCCCTCTCGTCCTTCACCGCCGTCACCCCCATCCCGTACTCCGTCCCGGGCCTCAGGCCTGCAGAACGGGGGAGAAAAAACAGTGCGAAACGGTGTTTACTTTTGTTCCGGAACATCCAATGAGGTATCAACAAATGACCTGTCAAGGGGGGGTTCGTGTCAAGTGGCCAGCTGTTTGGGCTAATGGCTCTGATCCTCTCTCGTGGCCTTGACCGCACAATGGACGGCGGCTTAATTGCGTTTTGTGTTATGCCCGCGCTCGCCGTGGAACATCAGCACGCCATTTGCATTAATGGATGTATAGGGCTCGTAAAAACATTCCATACTATGATACTCCAGGCTCTTGGGGGGTGGGGGGGGCTGTTTGGTTCTCTCTCTCTCTCTCTCTGATTGCCTTTAATTCCTTTATTAACTCCCACAGAGGTCAGCGCACACGGAGCTCTGCTGCATGAAATTACAGCTAACGTCCAGGAAACTCATTATCAATAAAATCACGAGCGTGAAGGCAATTACAGATAATAAGTGTGTGAAAGAAGTGCTGAGGTGTGTGTGGAGCAGAGTGGGGGGGGGGGGGGGTATGTCAGATGAATGGACAGAGTTCTTTATTTTCGTGGGCCGGGCCCCCCCCCCAAGGGACAAAGGAAGGGGTCACACAAAGACACTGGCGGTCTGTTTTTTTTCGGGGAAGCTTTGTTGTTGTTTGTTTGTTTCTCAGGGTGTGTAATCCCGCCGTGCTCAAGTGCTACAGCCCAGAGACACACAACAAAAAAAAAGAGACTTCCATCATGCAGACGGGTGAAAACGCTCCCACTTTGTTTGTTTGAGCAACGTCTCAACACCGAATTTTCTATTTAGCGTCTGAATCCCAGACGCCTCCCGGGTGGATTTTTTTTTTGTTTTGTGTCCCTTTAAAGAATGCGGGGCCTTTTGTCGAAAGGCAAACATTTCACGACGCAAACAAAGGCGAGCCATTTTGGAAAAATGAACAGGCTGGAAATAACACAAACGGGGGAGCCCCACCAACATTCATCCCAGAGAATTAAGAGAATAAACTCTCGACATTGTGTCGTTTATTTTCCTCCGAGGCTTTTCAGCTGTGTCATTGGAATGCAGAGTGCTAATGAGCCGACGGGACCGCGAAAAGAACCCAAACAACCCAGTGGCTCAGCTGACTAATACAAGACATGGTGAGTGCCTGTTTATTAATCAGTTCAACAAAAAGGAACTAAAAAAAGGAGGGGCGGGAGTAAATACATCCTGATTGTTCCAGCTTGGGAACACACCAAGACATTTAATGTATCTTTCATCTAAACCAGGAATTATAGGCCACTTATAATAGCCAATAAGATGAGTTGCAGGATAACAAAAGTCCCCTTTAAAACTTTTGATAAAAGCTAATTAACAACCATAGAGTCAGTAGTGCCTTTGTTTTTTTAGTTAGCATGCATGCATCTTGGTATTTAACATTAGAAATAGCAATGTTTACTATCATTTGTTGGGTATTTTTAAGATATATTTCCCTAGTTAATGTATCAAAACTGTGTCAGTGGTTGTTAACTTTAATATTTCTATTGGAATAAGAATGTTAGTTTGATTTGAAAATATATGGAGAACCTTTATGACTTTTGTGGAAGGTATGGACTTATCTGAAGACAAGAAGGACAATTAAGTAATACCAACTTGGAAATCTGGTTGATATCGGAGCCTTTGTAACCAGTTTGTGTCTTTTGCTGAAAAAAGTGTAAAAGTATTCAAATGCAGATGTGTATCTGAGAGGGTATTTGTTTTTTGTTTTTTGGTATGGTTCTTGTACTTGTTGAAAAAAAGAATGTTGGTTTGGATGGAGGTGTGTTTGTGGATTTGGCCCTGCAGTACCAGTGATCTTGGCCTGGGTGGAGTCCTTGGGTCCGGCGGGGAACAGCAGCTCTCCGTGCTCCCCCCCGGACAGAGGCCCGTACTTGATGCGGTAGTTGTCCACCGGGGCCCGGCTGTTCCTCCACTCCAGCGTGATGCTCTCGTCGGTCAGCTCCACCGGCTGCAGGTCCCGGGGAGCGTCCAGGTCTGTAAAACAGAGACGAATAACTACACCGCCCGGACTCAAACTGAAAGTAGTTTCTACTGAAAACAGAATTCACTGCCATTTTTTCCATAGAATAGTAGTCTACCCAATACGTCAATTTAACAGATATTTAAAACGAGCTGTGCGGATAAATAAGCAATGCGAACAAGTCTTTCATGAGCAAGTGCAAAAACTAAAAAGCACAAATTATGCATGTCATAATAGACTTTTTCATTTAGCTAAAAACTGTTCCTGTTTGAATCCAGAAAAATGAGATGCTTTGACAATTACATAACTGTCAGATAAAGATCCCTGCAATTAAACAAAGAAAAACGGATTATTACTGTCCTTAAAGCTAAGAAAATAGCCAAAGATCTGACCTGAACTACAGCTCAACCTGAAATCTGGGTGTCACCTAGGTGTCAGACAGAACCCAACAGCTGGATTGAGTCAGTAATGAATCGATCCTGGTATTTAAAGGGTTACAGGACAGTCTCGGAGTGATTTAAACTGGCTACATCTAGCACCAGTAGACTTGATTACTGTACCAGTTTGTTAACTGGTCTGCCTTAAAGATCGATGGGGCAGCTGAAGCTGACTCATTGCTTCTCAAGTCCTCACTAAAACCAGCAAAATGCATCATATTATTCCAGTTCTGAGTTCTCTTAACTGGCTTCCTGTCCACTAAGGAACTGACTCTAAGTGGTGCTGACCTGGGGCCAAAAAAGATCTCAAATGTTCTGGAACATTATGAACCTTCCGTGGCTTTCAGGTCTTCAGGAACAAATTTCCTTCAGAGGCTGGATGGATGGATGTTTACTGGAATAAACATCCCTCTAATTTGCAAACCATGATTCTCATGGTTGTTGAACTGTGCTATAGAAATCATTTGGCCTGGCTTTTCCTTACAAATTATTAAAAAACTGTGTTCTCAAATTTTAAATACATAATATATATCAGTCACAAAGGGTTCAAGATCATTTCTTAATATATTTTCTTATTTCTCATAAAGTTTATCATAAAAATTATTTTACAAGACCCAATTGTATGTCAACTTACTATTAAAGGTTTTTTTTTCATCCCAAGCAAATCTAAATAGCTCCCAGAAAATAAGGTTTGCATGAATTTAGAAGATCAACAAAACATGCAAAAATAAGTCTGTTACATTCATTCATTAATACAAATAATCATGATGGAATTTCATACGGGATAGAGGTTAACAGGGAAAACTATTACGCAATATCTTTTAACTGAAGGAATCTTTTTTTTAAACTAAGGTCTATAAATATGTGACAGCTCATAAGATCAACTTTTCCTGGGAGAACAGTACACTTACCTTTGTTTAGAAGAACTGAATATAGCCTATGTTAATGATAGGGTGCAATCCTTGTTGATTTACTATCATGGTGAAGAAATGTCCTCAATATCAATCATTTACTTTTATGAAAAACTCAAATGTCCTTTCAATCCTTCAGTAATCAGTGTAGTTGGGACTCAAACACACAAAGTCACCAAACAAGAATCAGATTGAAACTACTCTCCTTCCACAAATTGTATGCTCAGAAAGATACGACCTACAATGGTTACTAGGGCAACAACTAAAAATTAGATTGGCTTTTGCTTTTAAAAATAGCCTCTTTTCCCATTTCTGACCAAATAGTGAAAGTGTCCTGTTTACATTTCAAACAAAAAATCTAAGTGTGTTATAACTGTATCTTATGTCGAGATCTCAGCTTCACTAAATGTATCCATTTATTGGTCATTGTCTTATGCGTGCACACACTGAGCTATTATCTTGAAACTACTCCAACCAAACATGCTGTTGTCACATAACTAATTCCATAAAGCTGGCTTGATTTCTGCACACAGAACACACAAATGTGAAGCAGAGCTACAATCAACGATTGATTTTCTTTTTTGCCCATAAGACATTACCAACCAGGGAATGAGGCTACTTAAAATTCAGCTCATAATGCATCATAGTACCACTTTTTTATAAGGATAATGTGACTTATAGGAGTGACTTGAGAATTATATTTATTGGAAAAGCTTATCTGAGTCAGATAATCCTCCTTCCATCCCTTGTAAAATAAGAGGGGTGTTCTTTACTTTATGAGTTGTACTTAGAGCTACTGACTAATGAGGGGAAGAAAAAGATTTTGAAGCTATAAAGCAAGAAAACTTTCACCCCTTCATTGGTTCTTTCAAAGCCACAGCTCCACAAGACTTAGTCAAGTGAAAAAACCACTGAACTGAACTGGAAGAGAGTTTGTTTTTTGTACCACAGTAAATACGATCACTGACTACCACACGGTGAAGCTACGTAGCTGTGCTTGTGTTATGGTCACGAAAAACAAATACCGAAGCAAAGAAAAGCCATATTTCACTAATTCCTTTTGGCCTCCCAGAAGGTTTAAGTCGCAGCTCTTTCCACTGTGATGTGTCTCTTTGTCTCTCCCTGAAATGATCTGCGGTTAGGGGATGCACAATTAAGGCGGCAATGCACAAAGAGCACACCAGAGCCAGCGTTATAATCTCTTGTGCCACTTAATTCGACAGTGATTGGCTTTTTTTTTTTAAATGCCTGCACTTGTTTCCACGCAAATGTTGCTGGTGAGAGGACAGCATCAACAAATAGACTCAAAAATTAATTTTGAAGTGCATAAGACTCAGTACCTTTAAGGGTATCAACAGACAAACTATATGGGTGAATGGAGGACTTGTCAATAGAACTTCATATTCAGAATCAGAATCAAAAATACTTTAATAATCCCAAAGGGAAATTATCATTATATATTGGCCATTATGCAGCCAATGGATAACTGGAACAGTAAACACTTCTTAACTTTGTTGTGGAAGGGACTCTTAAAGCAAATTACAGATGCGTCCACGTACACACATCAGCAGGATGTCCTGCCTCATAAAGATATAGCAATAATATAAAGCACGTGTGGTCCTCTATGCCCGCGGCAGCTAATTAAACCTGGCTGTAAACTCTGTTCATGGCTGACTGCTTTTCATCAAGGTTACCTTTTAGTTTGTTGCCCGAAAAGAACATTAAGTGGCTACTATGGCCTTACCGGTCAGGAAGGATTCGTAGACCGGAGCGCTGGTCCGTTCTCCCTTCTTGGCCTTCAGAGACACGTCGTACTGGGTGTCGGGGGCGAGACCTCCCAGGTGGTACTGGGTGTCGGTGGGGGACAGCTCCACCACGCTGCGCACGGCCGGGTCCAGGCTGGGCCCGTAGGAGATGCTGATGCCGTCCACGTCGGCCACGGGCTGGAACCAGGTGACCAGCGCCGTGGCGTCGGTCACATCGCGCACGTCCACCAGGCCGGGGGCGTCGATCACTGGAAAAAGCAAGGAGCAACACGGACACAGTTTTACGATCGAACTGGGAATCTTCCTCTGTGGGTTGGCATACAGGAGCCAGAATGCGGAAAACGAGAAGGGGGACAGTAATCGGAACTGATTCCTATATTCTAGATCTGATTATTGCCCAACTGCGGTTCAAAGATAGAAGGGAAAAACAAAGGACAGAGACACAAGTGGGTGCGTTTCCTGTCAAGGCTAACCCAGTAAGATATACCACAATTCACCTAAGGAAGCTTTTAATCAGAGGTCCATCACAATATTCTCTAAGGACAAGTTCAAGCAGATCAGACTGAGACTTCCGTTTCAAGGTATCTCCAGAGGTACCCTACAGGAGTCACATGCAGACTTTGCTCGGTCCGAGACCCAAAAGGTTTTCTCAGAACCATCCAACCATTTTCGTAACCGTATTCCCTAATGGGGTCACAGGAACTGGTGCCTATCCCGGTAGTCAATGGGCAAGAGGCGGGGTACACCCTGGACGGTCCACCAGTCCATCGCAGAGCCACACAGAGACACGCAACCACACACACTCACACTCACTCCTAAGGGCAATTTGGACTGTCCAGTAAACCTAACATGCAGGTTTTTGGACGGTGGGAGGAAGCCGGAGAACCCAGAGAGAACCCACAGACACAGGAGAACATGCAGACTCCACCCAGAAAGGTCCTGGTTCCCCCGGGATTCGAACCCAGAACCCTCTTCCTGGGAGGCGACAGTGCTAACCACCACACCACCGTGCTGCCCGTTTTTAATCAGAACCAGTCGTGAAATGCTGTTGAAACCTAAACATTTGCCTAAACCTGAGTTTCGGTAAATTCTGTATTTCAAGGTTTTCTTTTTTAATGTCTCCGTCTTTTTGTGTATCCACGCTTCCCAACCTCCCACAGCTGTCCTAGTGTTCACATTATTATTCATAACACAACATTATCAGAAAGGCTTTGGGGAATTCAGGTCCGGAAATGTTTAATCTTTGTTTTACCTGTATATTTTGGTTCTTATTGTCAAAGAGCTGTAGAAGTACTTTCTGAAAAACTCTTTCTGACACTCTTTTTAAAAGATAGCTTCTGTGACTTCATTCTATTTCCATAAAATAATCTTAAAAGTTGTTCATGTTGAGTGGCTTTTCGGTAACCTGTCTGACCAGGCCTTACAAATGCTAATTAATGTCTGTTTAAACTACACTTTTCACTGTGTTTTGAATTTGCAAAATGACCAAGCAAAGTGCAGGTAAATAAAAAATCAGGTGTGAGATCTATACTATATATGTTCAGTTCATTCAACTAATTGAATTGAATTATTAAAATTATCAATCATAATCATCAATAATAATTTAATTATTAAAGATAATGTGGTCAAATGCACTGATTATAAAATTAGTGATACACTTTGCACCTCAGCTTTAATTTTGCTTCCAGCTAAGATTTGTACTGGTCTCCTTATTGATGAAACTAAAACCTTACAGACCTTGTAAAATATGAGTTGGGTCACAGCGATTGGCTGGGGGTGTGTGCACAGATAATAGGCTGTTGCATCACATGAATGCCTCCATTTCAGCTTTGAAGACGCTAAAAACTGTGTTTGGCTGCCCGCATTAACAAGGACATTCCAACTATTTCCAGATCAATTCCTAGCTCCATGAAGGGCGCCTTTTTACTACCCCTCAAATGCATTTGTCATGCGCAGGCAACTTCAAGAAAGTCAGCCCTCTGCGCAGGCCTGATAAAACACACAATCTGCATCCGAGCTCTGCACAGATTCGTCTCCTGAGGAGGATCCGAGAGTGGCACTCGCCTCACGATACCGCCCCCCCGGGGAGGCCCGGGTCCCCCGGCGCCTGAAGCCTTCCAACGCATGGAGCTTTGGGTTCGAAAGGGGGGGAAGGGATGTACAAATCCCCACAGTTTGCAGCCACAAACCGGCGCAATGGGAAACGTTACCAGAGCTCAAGTGACGTGAAGAACTGTGGGCGCCATAATCCAAGCGTTGCTGACACCAGTAGGATGTAAGGAACATTCTTTTGGGAGCTTTATTGCATTTATTTCACAAGCGTTCCTCTGAAATGTTGAGTCGACGTGACAGAAATTATATACGAGGAAATTAAATTGCCTTTCCCCATCGCTTGTGAATCAAATCAAAAGAGATGTTTGTAATTAATTTAATTAATTTTAACTTGAGACAGTTACCAGCTGATGTTATCATGACATTAAAGATTCATTGGACATAATTTATCTGTTTGGAACGTCTCAGTTGTTTGTTGTGAGGGGCCATTTGAATTTATTTTCATGCCCGTAGACGTCTTGCAAAATGGTTGTTCCATAAAAAGATTTCAAGCTTAGCTAAATGAGCAGAAAATAAAACAAAATGGACATCTTGCAAAATGGTTGTTCAATAAAAAGATTTCAAGCTTTGCCAAATGAGCTGAAATAAAACAAAATGAACATCATGTACCATAAAAAGATTACAAGCTTAGCAAAATGAGCAGAAATAAAACAAAAAAAGTACCCTATGCTCATCTAGAAAGTTGTAACTTTCAAATACTTTTGAAAAACATTTATACAGTTACCTTTTTTCAGTCAACTTATTCAGTTCATGCAATTAGTCATTCAAAAGTAAATAATCCAACCACTTAATTTACATGTCTATGGTTTCACCACAGACTAAAAATAAAATGACTAAAAAAAAAAAACATTTTCATTATCCAGCAGTCTCACCAATGATTTACCGGCTCTGCTCTTTCTGTTGGTTGTGTTTGTGTGTGGTAAGGCTTGTGTGTGGCATTTCCGTGCACAGTGTTTTCACACCATAAACCAGGAAGTAAGTGGCCTGACCCGGCTGCCAGATGGAGCAGCCATTTGTCAGCCTGACTGCTGGACGTGGTGAGCGTGGTTGAGCTTGTTGAACTTGTCTTGTTGACATAAAAGACTCCCATGGGTGACCAGCTAGCACAGATTGAGCTCGGTAATGCTAAACTAAACTAAACAGAGAATAGAACTAAATCAATTATTACATATCTTTCATAAGTGGTGAAGCAGCATTTTAAATTGCATAAAAAACTCCTCAAAATGGTTGATAGGCAGTTTGAAAAGTGTGAATCACACCCCATGTCCACTTTCATTGTTGTTTTCCTTAAAGTTGCTGGCTTTGTAACTTGTTACAACTAAGGAAATTGACCATGACTTGTTGATAAGGGTTGGAAATCCATTATCTGTTCGTACCCTCCCTGCTGAATCCCTGGGATGGAGAGACATGTAACGAGCCAATCAGTCAGAGCTGACATGCCTGTTTGTTTTCAATTCTCACGAGCTGCTGGATGGATAACCCAGATATAGAAACCCACTGAACTTCCACAGGCGGCGTAAATCTGACAACATGTTTTAGCGCTACGCTTTGACAGCTCAGTTATCTTTTTTTGCAGAAATTCTTCAAAAAGAATACCAGCCTGTCGTCCTGCAGCACCATAATCCAAATGTTGAAAATACAATGCCTTTGCTTAATTCGATTGTTAAAATCAACATGGGTTTTCTTATAATATAGTCATCCGAGGTGATGTTTTTTACAAGTCTGAAGAGGTGTGAAGGTTAAGGAGTGTGTAAAGAGTATGTACTGTATTAAGGGTCCTGTGCTACAACAGATAATAGGTAAAATATATGTCTTTTCTAAAAGCTGTCACATATATTTAATCTCCCATTTCATAATTCTCTAACTTACTATATAATTTTTCCCAAATAAAAAAAATGGAATGGCTACTGTCTTGCAATCATAATACATTATTCTAATTTTCCCATTTTTTCTGCTTCTTATATCTGATTAACACAGAGAAATATCTCATAAAAAGGTGCATGCGAAAGCTAGAGATAACATTTGATAGACATCTCCTTTAAGTTATGTTGGTTAGTGAGCTAAAAGTAGACAACATGGAAGGGCACCATGAACACAAAATATAGTAAGATTGGACTTAAATGTATCATTTTTGACGGATAACAGCTCATTTTTCTTCTTTAATTCAATTCTGTCTGTCTTGAACCAACAATGGCTGACTCCTTCCTTTTGTTGGAGTAAAAACTGCACTGTTAGTCTTCCTTCTATGTTGAAATTTTGAGGTCAGCTTCCAGAGTTTCAGTCATTTCTTCACATCAATCCTCACATTCATCAGCTATTTTAAACACCATAACACAAATATATTAGTAAGACTCACTCTGCTACAGGATATGAATAATGCAAAACCACACAAAACATGAATAGGTCTTTTATTTTAGAGGATATAAAAAGACCCTGTTTTATATTAATATAAAGCAAATGTACGAGTAGGTCTAAGCTGCTAAAATTTGTACACTTACTTGTGACAACATTCTTGGAGGCAGGCGGTCCACGCTTGTTGTTCTTAACCACCTCCAGCTTGACCTCGTACTCCTGGCCTGGACCCAGGCCCGACTGCTCAAAGGTGGTCTCTGGTTGGCCGAGTGAGTTTAGAATCTCACCATCTTCCTCTTTCTGCCAGCAGCAAAAAAACACAAAAAAAACAGGTCTTCAACGGCTACAAAGGCTTGTTCTGGCACAATGTGCCAGGAGAAGGACGTAAAACCAAGGCAAATCATCCAATAGCTGTCTTGGTGGTGTTTGGTCTTGAGCGTCGACAGGGACTTTGGTTTGACTGAATGTGCCTTTGAACAGAACCCAGCGGAACCTTTTGGAAAGATTTCACTCAGAAACCTCTCAGTGTCAGCAAGTAACAATCCCTCTTAGCTGGGTGGTCAGTGAAGCGGCCTGGACCTGCTAACAGTTTTAACTGCTGTGTTTTCACCCGCTGGAGCGGCTAAACCATTTTCCAGAGGATCCTTGTCCTCCTTTTTACAGTATGCTAGCATAGACTACATTGAAGAAGGAGGGGTTTCCAGTCAATCATACAGTTTTTCTAAAAGACTAATATGTGAATATTGATGAAGACCATACTTGGTTTGACTATCTCCCAAAAATGAGGCAGTATTAAACTTGTTATACCAGAAATCACCTTCATTCACTACATACTACATACTACATTTATCATCACTATGACAGTAAGCTATACAGAGGAGAAACACTGATCAGAGTCAGTGGTGAGATAGAGATAGAGGTAGAGGGGACTACAGAAGGAGTTGTGGGGGGGATAGAGGTACGGGTTAGGATTAGGATAGGAGATGCTCTTTGAAGAGCTGGGTCTTCAAGAGTTTCTTGAAGACAGACAGGGACACTGCTGTTCTTGTAGCTTGGTAAGTCATTCCACCATCTTGGAACGACACATGCAAACAGTCTGGATCGACAATCCATTGATGACCGGAGTGATCGAGTTGTGACATAAGCCTTTGCAAGAGGATTCAAGTAGATGGGAGCCATACCCTTAAGCACTTTGTAGGCTAACATCAGGGACTTGAATTTGATACGGGCAGCCAGAGGTAACCAGTGGAGTTCAATGAACAGAGGGGTGATGTGAGATTTTTTGGGCTGATTGAAGACCAGACGCGCCGCCGCATTCTAAATCATTTGTAATGGTTTTACTGTACAGGCTGGGAGACCAGTCAGGAGTGCGTTGCAATAGTCAAAGCGGGAGATGACCATAGACTGCACCAGGAGCTGGGTAGCATGTTGTGTTAGGTATGGCCGGATCTTTCTAATGTTTAATAAGGGTGGTCACTTCTCAGTCTTTGTAATCTTAGAGGTGACCATTCACGAAGCAGTGGATGCATCAGTAATTATTGTGGGGTTCAGTTTCTTGCACAGTGACACTTGGGCACTGCCCTTTGACAACTGTTCCACCTCCTGACCTGCAGGCACTCCGTCACATCAGCAGAACTTACTGTATTTCTGAAGATGAGATTCCACCCATCAAAAGGAATATTCAGCGGATCCCATTGCACCTCCACCGAGGTCTCCCGCACAGACTTGAACTTCAGGCCCTCGGGTTCAGGAAGGTCTACAAGAACAAACGAAAAACTTGCAGAACTTCATATGGATCATAACCCTGTCCTAGGGGAAGTGCCACTTACGTGTCGCCACCCTGGCACTGACAGGAACGCTCCTCTTGTTGCTTAGGATGGCATAAACGCTGATTAGGTACTCCACACCGGGCTCCAGCTCTCTGACGGTGGCCATCTTTTGGTCCCCGGGCACTCGCATGTCCAGCTCAAGACCGCCAGGCGCCGTGGGCACGTATGTGACCAGGTACTCGGTCACACGCATCTCATTCTCCCAGGACAGGTCCACCGTTTCCGGTGTGACCTCGACCACTGTTAGGTCCTTGGGTGGGGAGACTGTGGAGAAACCAAATATTATTGGTTTGCACCAACACGACCAGTATTTCCTTATAGTTTGATAGTTTAAAACTAAATTGTGTGTTAAAGATGACAAGTTAGCTTGGTAATTGTGCTTTTGTATGAATTAAATGGTTATTAAAGGGGATATGGAGTAGAAAATAGTGTATAAGCATAGAGAGACTTGATTCATTGATATATTTGAAAAGATTAAACCAAACCCAGTCAGGAAGAAGTATTTCACTGGCTAGTAGTGCCTACTTGAATATTTAATGTACTTCACAATGATTATTCCAGAGTTTTAAGAATATCTAAGCTTGATATTCAGTAAAAGCCTGGTATCATACATAAGAGACAGACCAGGTCCATTTGGGTTTTGAACATATCACCTACCTCCAAAAAGACATAGACTTTTGGTCAGGTTTTGCATGAGGCTCTATAAAGTCTCATAGTTCATGCAGATGCTCCTTAATAAGTGACCGTTAAAGGTTGCTTTGTTTGAACGATCGAACATTGGTAGAATACTCCGAACCTTTTCTCGTGCAGCTGGGATAGGATCTGAACCTTGAATAGACTCCATTTTAATGTTACCGCCGTGCAACCTGAGCTCAGTGGAAATTTCAGGACTGATCTCTCGGAGCAGAATCCCTCCCGTTCCTTCACCGAAAACTGTGTTCCATAACCACATTTCAGAAATGTTCCATGGGACTGCTGCAAGGCTAAGCTAAGCCCACCTAAGCCAACATACATAAAACCCTCTTTTTTTGTTAGGTCGCTGATTAAGCGAAACATCAAATCTAATAACCATCATCTGACAGCTGCAGAATTTTTTTTTTTTTTATTATCACACTATGTTGAAAATGCCAGTTGAATGGATGCTCTTTTTTTAATTGCGAGAAATAGACATGATATGATAAGAAACCTGTAGAAATAAACTTGAGGTTACCTTTTAAATTAATTGACCAAAAGAGACAACATTTTACATTCTCTCAAATGATCTATCAGGTTCCATTTATGTGGCCGTGACACCAGCATTGAAAATAAGGTTGGACATTCCCCAATGTTGAATCAATTGAAAACCAGAAAGCTCACTAATTAGTTCTTATTTGCATTTCGGCAATGATTAAAACTACTCTTCGTAATTTTATACTTTTTATCATACGATTATCTCACTAAGTGGTTGATAAATGAATTCTTCTGTTCACCAGAGTACCGATAGGAAGACTCTATATAACAAGTAAACATGTGATTTTGCTGACAAATTAAGCTAAACAACTCCGTATCTCAGAGGTCAACAGCCATTATTAACACTGTACAACATTATATTGTAAAGTGAGAAATTTCAATGCTAATACCGAGGATGTTAATCAGAGCTGAAACAAAATAAACTGAGTTCTGTATTGGGTGTTAAAAGGATTGCTCACACAGATGCAGAAATCATGTACTGCTGACTCCAGTGAAAGAATCTACTGGCACAATACCTATATGATTTGTTTGTTCTGTCATTGTATTTCAAATTTGGAGTTTAAATCCAAAGTGTGGGTTAGAAATAACATGCATTTTTTGTTTAATACAGGATAAACAATTATTGGATATGGAACATAATACCGTTCTACCATTCCTAACTTTTATTACCCAACTATATTGTGGACAAGTGAACAGGTGGACCTTTATGTATTTCCTTCATAGATATCTGTTTGAAATCTTGTACTTCAAGGTGGACATATTTTAAAGTGCCTTTTGAAATCTGGAGATTTTTAAGCTTGGATAGTACATGTTTAAGGGCTTTTTTTATTAAGACTTCAAAGAAAGCTGCCCATTATTTAAGCGTTTTACCCTCAGAGCAGTCCTCTCCGATGAAGCCTTCGTCACAGACGCAGACTCCGTTTTCACAGCGCCCTTGGTTCTGGCAGTCTTCTGGACAGGTCAGCTGAGAGCAGTCCGGTCCGGTGAACCCCTCGAAACACGCACAGACGCCGTCTTCGCAGTAGCCCCTGTCCAGGCAGTTCTTGGGACAGGTCTTCTCGCCGCAGTCCTCCCCGGCGAAGCCCTCGTGACAAACGCACTGGCCGTTGACGCAGCGGCCGCGGTCCGAGCAGTCGTTGGGACAGGTCAGCTCGCCGCAGTCTTTCCCCTCGAAGCCCGCGAAACACACGCACTTCCCGTCCACGCACTCCCCCCGTCCCATGCAGTCTTTGGGGCACGTCTTGACGCCGCAATCTTCCCCGGCGAAGCCCTGCTCGCACAGGCAGCGCCCGTCCACGCAGCGGCCCCGGTCCTGGCAGTTGTTGGGGCAGGAGAGCTCGCCGCAATCCTCGCCCTGGTACCCGATGTCGCACACGCACTCCCCGTCCACGCACTGGCCCCGGTTGCTGCAGTTGTCCGGGCAGGAGAGGACGGAGCAGTCCTCGCCCTCGAAGCCCGGGTCGCAGATGCACTTCCCGTTGAAGCAGTGGCCCCGCTCGTGGCAGTTCTTGGGGCAGGTGAGCTTGGAGCAGTCCTCGCCGCTGTAGCCGGTCTGGCACACGCACTGGCCGTTGACGCACACGCCCCGGTGGTTGCAGTCGTCCGGGCAGGTCAGCTCGCCGCAGTCCTCGCCGGCGTAGCCCTCCTCGCAGTAGCAGCTCCCGTTGACGCAGCGGCCCCGGTCGTAGCAGTCGTTGGGGCAGATGAGCTCGGAGCAGTCGAAGCCCGTCCACGGGTGCTCGCAGACGCACTCGTCCTCCACGCAGCGGCCCCGGCCCAGGCAGCCGTTGAGGCACCTGGTCTGGGAGCAGTCCTCGCCGAGGAAGCCCTCCTCGCAGAGGCAGGAGCCGTCCACGCAGTGGCCGTAGTCGCCGCAGTCCAGCAGGCAGAGCTCCAGGCCGCAGTCGTCCCCGGCGAAGCCCTCGAAGCACTCGCACCTGCCGTCCACGCAGCGGCCCTGGTCCTGGCAGTCGTTGGGGCACTCGGGCTCCGTGCAGTTGGGGCCCTTCCAGCCGGGCTCGCAGGAGCAGCTGCACGACTCCGCGCTCCAGTTCCCGCGGCCGTTGCAGAAGGGCTTTGTGGACACCTCACCTGGGAGCAGAAAAGGAAGAATGTATAGCTTAGAAATTGGCAAGATATGTTTTTTAGCCTCCGCTGGAATTTTGGGTATACAAACATCAGACTGTATCCGTCAGACTGCTATCAAAGAATATTAGATAATCTCGAGATTAGTTTACATCGGTCAGCAAATGTAATGTACCTCTGTCTATTTTTTTTAATCTTGCTAGTATTTTTTTTATAATACACCAAGAAGTGATAACACAATAAATGAGGATGACAGCAGGCAAGCTGTATTTGGCCTGTTTTCATTTTATGAGCGTAATTCAACTACTGGACAAACGAGTGATAGCCAACAAGTAACACTAAGAAGGCCTTAGATACAGCTCATTTTTTAATATTTAGCCTGATTTTCTCAGGGAGGGGTACAAGGGTGGGTAGAGGATAGTAATGGAAGCTGTTACAGAGGGACCCTGTTATTATGGTCCAGGGTTAAGTAGGAGCTAATACGCAGAATTACATTGCATCTGCAGGATTTTCGCGTTTCCACGGTTATGCGACCGTATGAACATGAAAAATGGTTAAGAGTGATATAAAGTCCAACTAACTGTTCTTGATGGCTTCAAAAGTGTTTCAAAAACCAATACTTATGTCAAATTGAACAGTGTCTTTCCCCCCATTTCAATTCTGTAGTTAAGTGTTCTGTTATTTTCATATTTGCGGAAAACACAGTATCTCAGAAGAAGACATTTCTCCATAATCTCGCAATGTGCTGGAGTTACCTGTGACCTGAGCTCCGCAGCAGCCGGCCCCGCTGCCGCACTGCTCCCTCAGACTGGACAGCTCGGACTCCAGCATCTCCAGCCTGCTCAGGATGTCCTTGATGTCCGGCAGCTGGCCCCCGCAGCCGCACGCCTGCTTGGGGATGTTGATGCGGTGGGTGAAGACGATCTGGTTGTCCCCGTCCACCGTGTGCTCCATGTGCTCCGTGCTCTGCATGTCCAGCGGGCTGCTCTTGTGCTTGACCTCCTCGCCGCCCCCGCCGCCGGGCGCGTCCAGCTCCACCGAACAGAGGGAGGTGGACGGCACGTTGATGTTGTAGACGTGGTTGAAGACCACCGGCTGGTCGGGATCGGGCAGGGTGAGGTTTTCCTGGCTTTTCTTGGGCATCAGGGTCTCTCTGCGGTGTCGAATGACCCTCTTGACCAGACCGGCGCTGGAGAGGTGAACCAGGAAGGCCGCCATTACGCAGCTCAAAAGGAAGAACTTCATCTCCATCATGGCACCCGGAGACTGCCGCCTATGAGGAGGGAGCAGCCGAGTCCAAAACAGTCGGCTATAAAACAGATAGTCTTGTCCTACAAGAAAAGACAACACATACAAGAGTAAATTAGAATTAGAACACCAACTTATTCGTGACACGGGATTCTTGGTCTCAGTTTAGATATATTACATAGTTATCATTTCTGTAGAAATATAGATTTATGGAACTTTGCTGCAGGTTAACTTTTTTTAGTGTGTCCTTGTGTGTCCGTATTGATTCAATGGTCCGGTTCCTCACTCAAACATGTGTCGACACAGACGACAACAGCTGGACTGGAGTACAAAAGCACCACCACTAAAAAGCAATTAACCTTCCTCTGTTCCCCCCCCCCCCCAACAAAGGAACGCCTCCAATCCTGTTGCCGTCTCTGACCCATTTCAAGCCCCTCGGTCCCCATTGGAGGAGACACACACTTTAGCGGATGTCGACGGGGGCATTCTTCTCCCCCCCACCCCCCCCCGATTCCTCCGAGGGGGCCGAAAGCAGCAATTACCGCCGGGGCGGCGTGTCACCTTGAGGATCTGTGCGGAGCGTTCCTTTCCAGACCGCGTTCAGACAGGTTAGCCGCGACAGAAATAGCTCCGGTAACACCTGCAAGCTGGGGAGCCTTCGCTGTTCTTCCCCAGCTCAGAACACAAACCCGAGCTGGCAGGTTAAGGCCGGTGTGTGGTTAAACCATCTGTGGGTACGCCGTAAAATACAAAGGGGCCAGCTATACCTGCAAACCGGGCGGGTCAGCATCCCCCCCCCCCCTCCCCTATTACCACAGCTTTAATTTTTTAATACATTTCACTTTTAAAAAGTTGGAAGACATAACGGCTGGTCATATGGTCTTGTTGTCTTTCTCTCTCCTTCTTTTTCTTTTTTTTTCTCTCCCCCCTCTCTCCCTTTCTAAAGGATCTCTCTCCTTTCCACTACCCTTCCCTCCCCCCTGTCCCTCTGTCAGGTTCGGCATTATTGGACATATGGAAGTTTGGTAACAAAAATGAATAAATAAAGAAGTTTTGGGTAATCAAGGGGGGCTTCTCACTAACAAAGCCTCCCTTGGCAAAGCAATTTTGCTCAGCATTGCACGGTACGCAGATTTCAGTTCTACTACCATAATGCTGAACAGGACAAGGTAAAAAAAATAAAATAAAAATAAATAAATAAATAAAAAAGTTGGAAGGATGCATCTACTTTTCTAATCAAATAGCCAAATCACACAATGCTTTAGTTACGTCCGGAAGTTAAAGTTTTTGTTTCCTCGTGCTCGAAATGTGATAAAAGACGTGGATTTAATGAATGGCCTGTCAGCACTGGAACCAAGAGGAGGAACAGAATTATGAGGACAGGGTTCTTACAACAGCTGTAGACTTTTTTTGAAGTTTCTGGCCCGGGCTCGGTTTACATAATTGCACTTTTTCTCCACCCCCCCTCTCCCAGCAGACAAGCTGACACCGATCATTTCTAAACCCCAGTAAAAGTTTTGTGTGCCTTGGCAGTTTTAAAAGGTAAGAGTAGCTTCTTAATATCGTGCAAACATGAAAACGTGGTGGAAAGAAGGTGGTATCCTGACCCATGGTTGAGATTCAGACGTCTTTGTCCATTTTATATGCACAGATCAGTCGGCAGGTAACTTTCTAGGAAGACGTCCTTGGTCTAATTACACTGGGCTGATGAGTAATTAAAGGAGCTTATAGTTGATCTCTGCTTGGAAAGATTGCATAGTTTCTTCCTCTCTTCACCAAGCCTCCACCCACCTTCCCAAACCCTGATTAGACAGGCAAGGATGAGCGCCTCCTGTAAAAGTGCAAATGTAGCTTACTAATGGGAGCATGGAGGATTAAAGCCCCTGGGAGTCCAGAAAAGTGGGCATACATCTATACATCTCCACACACACACACACACACACACAAAGATACAGTCACTCTACTGTGGCCAAGCATTTCAAACCAGGGATTAAATCAACAAAATAGCCAGAAAATTGCTTTGAGCTGCTGCTAAGGTTTTAGTTCTGGGCGGATGGTTGGCTTTCTCACTTCTGGGGTTGGCTTCTCTCCACACGGAGATCCACACAGAACCGGCTCAAAGGGGTAAACCAAAAGCGGACTTTGTGCAGGAATCTTTGGCCCTGGCAAAAACTCCGGGTCGGACAGAAATAGACGGAGAGGGGGCAATTTGCACAGCATCCAGGTGATATGTTAATTTGATCTCCCTCTCCTGTTAGCTGCCAACTTTTTTTTTAACGTAAAGCACAATAATCAAAATGTGAGAATCTGAGTGTGACCCTGAGAAACACAGAGCTGATCCCCCGGTTTGGACTTCCTTCACGGGCACCCCGCGGTCCTGGCACTATGCTAATGCGGCAGGTTGCTGGCACCGTAGACACCAACTTGATGCAGTCTGACTACTGCTTTTGTTGTTCTCGCGCTTGCTTTTGTTCTATAGTTAGCTTCTCAAATGGCAACAAAGCCCGCTGCCTGCCTTGTGGGTGAATGTGAGGAGAATTATAGCGGGGAAAACCTGCTGGCACACATACATTTGCTGCAACTGATCTAAATGACCCCGTTGTGAATGAGTGCTGGGGAAACACTTGAAGTTTTATACCTCACACAGAGGAGAGCTGGAAATGCTGCTTTGGTCGGGGTCTGTTTCAAAAGCAATTAGGTGTCGCTGTCAGGAATGTTAAATTGATTTTATGCTATTAAAGTGGATTAAAGTGAATGGGCGCACCGATCTGACACACATTCTCTCATCCATTTTCCAATCTGATCCCGACTACTCTAAAAAAGGCCTTTGTTAATCAAGATTAAGTGCCTAAATGATCAAAATAAAAATGAGACATAGTGAAACAGACATTTTCTGACTTAATATTTCACCACAATTTAAAACATTTAGTGCCAAACAACAGAAACTTATAAGGCTTTGAGTTAATACCACTCGAGAAATCATTGGCAGAAAAGAATAAACGTGTCCAACAAGGATTGTTCAGCATCAGCCAGCTGGGTAACTCCATGTCATCAATAAATTGGAAGTTTCTAACACCATGTCATCAATAAATTGGAAGTTTCTAGACAGAAAGTTCAGATATTTCTCATTCAATTGTGAATATTCATACAGAATTCGTATTATGGAAAGATCTGCTTATAAAATTAAACTCTCAACACGCCTGATTGATGAAGTAGGTTTTTAACTCTCTTAGAATGCCATCAAAAACTTTGCCTTCTTATTCCTTTAACACACGCTTTTAAAGCCCTGCCCCTCTAAACTAACACCAAGCATTTTGAAAGTTACATCTCTGATGGCATGTCCAACCCCATGAAACATTGTCACTCAGCATATTTCCCAATCTGCCCATGGACGCTTTTTATTATCTTGACCACAAAGGATTTTCATCAAAACAACTCTGTATAAAGAGAAAGGATTTATTTTTTTGCGCAATCCCCCGCCCCATAAGGGAACGGACAGCCCCGTTCCACCACGGGACATAAAGATGTCTAGCAATGATTGTATTTCCATTCGGACAGGCCCCTTTCGGAGGAAATGAATAACCCCCTGGTAGGCTGATGACATTACCAGCATTATCCTTTCCTCCTACGGTCTTATTCACGGCCTTCGAGAAAAAAAAGTTGACTCGAAGATTGATGAACAGTCTTTAGACAGCAGTCGCTACTCTTTTTTTTTTTATATCTCAGAGAAGACCCCATGAGGGCCAACACAATCATCACTGAGGAGCACCTTTCCTTAGACTTCCATCGTAAATCAGATTAGAAAAATATTACTCGACTAGCATTCGGCACCCGCTATCTGTGCTGTGTCCTTTTGAGGAAGAAATGTCATTTTTTATGGGGGAAAATAGAAAAAAAAGGACACGCTGTATCAAGCTTCGCAATATGTGGAAGTTATTTTCTTTTTTTTTTAACATTGCAGACTGAGGTGAAAACATTCAGTCGATATTTTTCACGCGCAAAAAAGAAAGATACACTCCCTATCAGTGGATAATTGCAGCAGCGTGAACAGAGGAAAGCGGCATCCGTTTGACAACTCGACAACAAACAAACTGAATAATGAAGTGGCGTGCCCCACTTGGTGTGTAAAAGCTGTAAATATTCAATGACTACAACTACAACTCAAGTCCCCAAACTGTATGTTAAACAGGCCCCATGTAATGCACATGCTTTCATTTAATTTCTTAAGAATTTATCAAGCTTCCCTAGTTTTGTAGGTCACCCCTGACAAAAACTCAGCTTGCCTTCTTGGTTACAGAATTTGTATCTGGGTCGCTTGTATGAGGGCTGAATGAGGGGTTATTGTCTGGGGTTCTTTTCACCTTGAGATAATGCCACTCTGTAACGGAGGAAATTGACTAGTCGGGGACTCCCAGCACCACGCCAGGAATCAGGGGAAAACAGCTGTCACAAGCTGGAATCTGCCGATAAATGTAATCCGAACATGTATTAGACATCCTGAGCTAGAATGGGTGAACGCAGGTTTGGATTCTATACGTTTACCGGGGTCTCGGCTGGAGAGATAACGGGGTGCTGAGACAGCAGTGCAGTCGTGGGTAAAAAAATCGTCAAACCCGGCAATGAATTTTCAGGAAGAGGCGTAGCTAAAGTTGACGGCTCGGGGAAGGTTTATGCTGCTATCGCCTCGCTCTTAGGAAAGACAAATCCATTTTTTTCTTTCTGCCTTGTTGTGCTGAGCTAAACAGAAGTCCAGTCATCCGAATGTCAAAGCATGGCCAAAAACATCAAATGTTCAAAACCTGCTTGACCCTGCTTTTGTTATATGTGTGCATGTGAGTGGGGGCTTTGGCCTGAGACGGGGGGGGGGGTTTAATGTGGCAGCGAGGCAATCAGATCACGGCATCAGGACACGGCTAATTGACTTAGGACAAGTCCACTCTCAGTCAACTTTTTTGTAAAGTTCTCCGGCTTCCGTCTTTTTAAACAGATGTTTCCAGCTTCACAAACTGACACTAAAGTCTTAAGGACCACAGAAATAGTTTTAAAAAAGATGCAATGCAATTTAAAAAGATACACACACACACAGAATTATCACCAAACTGTGTTCCACTGTCTTTATGTTCAGAGTTTTGCCTTCACTCCGAGACTCCGTAGGATGAAAGATTCCTTGGGGACAAAAAGTGGAACATGGCTCGGGGAAGCCTTTTCTCGTAGGCGGCAGATTTTATTGGGATAAAAGAGGATCAGTGGAAACGCTTCCCAGCTGTGGGGGTCATCCAGTAAAAAGATGGACAGGAAACAAATCTGGCCTTCGGAGGCCAGATGGGGGAACGATCACCTGATCCTGTAGTTGGGTATCCCGGGGGAGGAGATACCTGGGAGTCTGCCTGGACGGCAAACCAAGATCGAAGTGGAACACTAAGGCCTGTCTACGGCAAGTGAGAGAGCAGACTCCCAACCGTAAGGAAGCATAGGCCTCTCGATATCTAAGCCCGGAGGGGGGTGGGCCACCTGTTGGCCAATGGAGCTAAGAACTGAACAAACTGAAAAGAGACCAACTCTGTTGGACCGGCCACCTGGTCCCATGAGGACCGGGATACCTGCCATTAGTGGGTATAGCAAATGGAAGGGTGGACTCTTCTGGGA